TCCCCCCCCCGCCGGCGCGGAGCGGTGACACAGCCAACCCTGCCAGGGAGGACGCAGAAGCCATTCCCCCCACCGCGCCCCCCTCCCTGCCCTCCTCCTGCGGGTGGATTTATTTTAATGCCGTTCCAGGCAGATGTCGGGAAAGGGACTGCCCTTTCGTAAATACCAGCGCGGGTTGGGGGCGCCCAGGCGAGGACAGCTCAGAGTCACAGGAGGAGGCCGGGACATAAACCGACAGAGGCAGAACTAGAGCCTCGCTGCAGCGACGCAGGGTGCACTAGAATCGATTTAAGGACGTGAGTATTGAAAGAGCTGTAGTGCTAATTAAAAATAGTCTGCCAGCTTTGACCACAGATAGACAACTGGAGGAACAGAATAGCTGGAAGTCGTATTTTCCTCCAAAGCAGCACTGGGACCTTAGCCTATGTGTCCAATATAGAAAAACAAAGAGATTTTCAGCTCTGTGCTACTGTATTATTACTTACCGCACCGCAGAGTCAGGTACTTTGATACCATTTCCAAGATCTAAAGTATTTTACAGTTCTAGGCACGCAACAGATTTCGACGTATGGTTTAAGTATCTGAGTTGCACTGAGGAATTACAAATCCAAAACAACAGATGAGATAGCTGCAGGTGTTGGAGGTCTTTATTGAGATTATAGCACAGATACACTTCTATAGTTACCTTTCCACTTTTATACGATAGTTAAAAATGCTTGCTACGGTGCACATATAATTTAGTAACCAAGAGAATCCAAAACTTAACTGCAGTTCAAATAAATAAATAACCTAATGTTTAAGGTTTATATTTTAAAAAGTAAAAGGAACTGTACAATATGAAAATATAACAATACATAAACATTAGAATCTAAAGTTTTGTAGAAATAAAACCGCAATTTCCCATACATAAACAGTGCAAGAAATAAAATTCAGATAAGCTTCTGAACTGGGAATTTAAACAGTTTAATTCTTAAGTTATCATGCAGACATAGCATTTGAAGCCATGCTGGTTTCTATAATAGCATTAATGGTATCCCTTTTACTTGAAAAAACTGATAGCCATTAAGCTCACTGTGACAACTGCTGCCAATCCACTCTTCTACAGTACATTATACACAGAGGTATTCTGTTGCATTCAAAAAGTAAAATATTATATGTTTCTACAGAAAAAAAAAATCAATATTTTACTTTTTTCCCCTCCAACATGTTAGCTTGTTCAAAACAATGTCACATAGTAAAAACAGCAACATTTCCCCCAGTTTAGATGAAAAGAAAGAAAAAACCCACACTATATAATGGACCATAATCAAGATGTGGTTACTGCCTAGTCACCTTTAAAGTTCAGAATTTGTTACTAAAAAAGTTGAAATTGTGGAGATGTTATAAAGTCTGACCTCTTGTTGAGAAGTGATGAATATAATAAATCTGAAAAAACAGTGGAAGTAATTTATCTTTTATGTGTATGTGTGTGGAACTAGTTACGTACGGACTTGGTTAAAGTGTTGTTCAACTTAAGTTCCTATATAAAGTTCTCATTGAGGCAAAGACCAAGGAATGCAATCAATACCAAACTGTAAACACATCGTTCATGTTACTTTGAGTGCACATCGACAACATAAGAGTTCTCCTCATAGACTTTGGCAACAAGACTACAACAGGTCACAGCAGCATGAGTTCACATGGAAGACTGAAAGCACTGCAAAAGGATATACTAAAAACACCAAGACCTCCCAGAAACCAGAAACATCTGTGACAAGTGCCCCTCCTCTTGATACGACACTCTCCCACTCGACTGCTGCTCTCTCAATGCCTAATTATTATTACTTTGTTTTTACAGTTCCGTCGTCTCAGGTCTCTGTGCTTTAGCTGCATAGGTTGCCTTTGTTTGCACTCTAGCCATTGTAGGTCCAAAGGGTTACAGTTCTGTCTGCAGAAGACGACAAGAAGGAAAGATCTTGCGTATGCCACCTGCACTGAATAACTTTGTCCTTGTGCTCTCCTACCACCATAAGAGGAAGCTGCTTCGTGAGGTCCCCTACGGCAGAGGAACAGAAGTCATTAGTCACCTCATGAATTCATATCCCAGATCTTTGGCTTTTTGGGGGTGGGGTTTTTTGGTGTTTTTGTTTTTTCTGTTTGTTTAGTAAAGCTTACATATGTATTTCACCTTACGAAGCATACTTGACCCCTCCCTCCCTCTCACACACACATGGAGTATAACACAAGGCCCCAGTGTTTTGGTTTTTAGGCATTACTGGACACAGTACAACTTTAAAATACAGGTATTCACAGTTTTTAAACAATGTGATTAAAATTTAACGGTCCAAGAAAATCAAGTCCATTAGATATACCCTGTATCTTCTCTCTTCTTAACTCTTCCCAATAAAAAATAAGCATTATTATTATACTTTTTTTTTTTAAAGGATCAATTTTATGACTGCTGCCTGAAAGCAATGGCCATCTCATCAGGCAACAGTGTTAATTAATTCTTTTATCATAATCAGACCCCCCCCAACAAGATTTAGTTCATAGCCTACATTCTTAGCAATACAACTAGCCAATTGTGAACAGCCACAGTCACATTTATATACATTTCAAACCCTTCAAAGCTCTACTATTTTTCCCCCTTTTAAACTAAAACCTGATCTTTGAACCAAGTTCTCTTACAACTTCAATATTAAAAGCACCAAACTGAAAATTAACCTAGTATCCTTTGCAGTATGTTACCTTGCAAGTCTGTCACCTTTATTTTCATATCATATGATCCTGTGAGCAAGTAGTGTGCCCCTGGAGAGAAGCGAACAGAACGAACGTCACTGGAATGAGGATGATAGCTCTGCACCATTCGGCCTCCTCGAATATCGTACAACATACAGCTAGAGTCCTCTTGTCCTGTAGCCAGGAGACGACCACTGGGATCAACAGCTACTGAGGCTACAGCACTTCCTACAGGAGGAAAGAACCCAACATACACTATATTTATGTACATTTGTGCAAATAGCCAACTTTTTTTTTTTTTAAGAACAAGAATATACATTGTATAAGAATTCCAAATGCTGGCTTTAAATTTAAGGGGAACATATCTAGCTACTAAAATAAGAAAATTTTTGTGTTCTAGCACTTAAAGCTCTGAAGCCACAGGTCACACTGGAATGGTAGCAAAGCCACTGTTAAAGCTGCATAGGAAAAAAGTGTCTGTTTCATCACAGGAAAGAAAGTCACTTTTTATGAAATAATGTAGAATAATGCAAGGAATTCTCCCCCACCCCAATTCTAATTTATTGCTCTCGCCCCCCCCCAGGTTTCAAGAAACAAATCTGAACCCAAGCAGTTCTTAAGAATCCTTTTGCAGATTTTTTTCTATAAAGTATGTTGATGACTTGCAAAAATGGCTGCTCCTTCCCACCCCTTCCTTTGATTCCGAAACAGTTATCTTGTGTCTTGTTTTATTTTACTGTACTTGGAGGTGGTCTGTTTGAAAGTCACAAGGCAAAAAACTAGCCAGCTTTTGAAAGGAAATGTTACTTAAAAACAAACAAACCAACCAAAACACACAGGTAAAGATATCCTCACAAACTTCTTTCTTTTAAAGCCAAGCCTCCATTCTGTGATGCAAGAAACCCTTACATTCACTCTATACTACTTAGACATCTCGAAAATACATTTTTATGCAAGAATGACCAGAAGCATGATAGGAAGTCTTACCTGTTCCATGAAACGTTGTTCCCACAACACGAACACAGCTTGGCACTCTCAGATCCCAGAATCTTACAGTCTTGTCTTGGGATCCAGATGCAATCATCCAGCCACTCCATGTATAAAGTGCTAAAATATGACCTGTGAACAAGAAAACTTCTTTATTTGATTAAATGTCATTAATCAAATAATGAAATATTACAGTTCTGATTATATTTTCGCATTCATAGGTTTAACAGTCCTATGGAAACCTGCACATTGCATGACCTAAAATGCCAACAGTGTAAGGCAATACCCAGCTTTGCATCTTCTCTGGAATGAAGCATGCGCTCTCTCCATTAACTTAACAGCCAATGTATTTATAAACAGCCCCCCCCCAAATACCTCAAGAGAGGTTTGGAGAGAAAAAAAGTCTTGCTAGAAAGAAAAACACAGACACATTAAAAAAAAAACCCAACCAGCACATTTATTAGAATACAATAAAGACTTCGAAAGTGCAAGAGAGAAGCAACAACATACATACCAGTGTGACCACTTAGAGCATGCAGGCCTTGTCCTCGCTGACAATCTGTTGTGTAAATATTACAGTCCCCTGCTCCAGCACTTATTAAAATAGCACCACCACTTTCTGGGCCTTCCATAAAAGCAAGGTCTCTGATTGTCCCATCATGCATGCTGAACTCCAAATCTGGTCCTAAAATAATTAAAAAAAAAATCAAGGAACAAAATGAGGCATACTTTGTTTATCACTGTTAGGGCTGCAATCTTTAAAGCAGCTACAGTGATAACGCAGAATATTTTAGGCAAGGGTGGGTATACTACCAAGTATGAACATTGTTGTGCACTTTCCACAGAATACTCCATTTCAGTTACTAGAGTTCAAATCTCTAAAGAATCTTATTTTTATTGAGTTTTGCTTGAGCTTCCTACAGTTCCTAAAGCTTTGCAAAAGGTACACGGACCACCTCCATGGCCAATTCCAGCCAAGGTTTATAGAGCACATTTATTTCTTTTGTAAACTATGGTAAACTAAAAAGGCTTTCTCTGCCAGGAGGGATCACTGAGAACACTGAACCTCACAGGACAAGATAGCCTAAGCTCGGACAGAAAAGATAAGAGCCATATTCAGTGTATTGATTAGGAGGGTTGGGCATGGAAAACAGTATTTGCTGGGAGAGAAGGCTTAGACTTCTAAGATGGGGGAGAAGATGACAGAACTAGGCAAGAAAAAGGGGAACTGGAAGTAGAAATAAATTCCTACTGACAGTCAAGAACTAGAGTTCAGTAAGAACATCTGGTTGTTTTACGATATCTCAAAAAAAATCTACCAGAAGACAGCACATTACCAGAGAGTCTTGCAAAACAAAACCGAAATGCAAACAAACAAAAAACCAAAGGAAATAAAACCCAAAAGGTAATCCCCAACCTCTCAGGGGCTCTTTGCTGGACAGAGACTACAGTGATAGTGAAAGGGAAAAGAGACTAAGTTAATCAAAGTATTAGAATAAAAATAACAACCTAGTAACTACATAATCAATGTAATTTGAATAGTTTTGCCAAATATTGGACAAATAATTGAAACTAAATTCTTTAAACTAAATGCACACACACTACCTGTTGCATTACAAGTTTCTGCATTAAAAGGCAGTACTTTCACATATTTATCATTAGAACCAGTAGCTAACAGCTGTCCACAGGGACTCCAGGCTACACAGTAGATTGATCCTTTATGATGCTTGTTCCTTTTGAAGCGAACTACAGGTTGTTTAGGAGTATTATAAGCACTGAAAAAAAAAAAAAGAAAAATAGCCAATTTCCTTTTATTTGTAAGGAAAACAATGTGTCCTAAAATGCAAATACTGTTTTTCTATTATTTTAGGTAACATGAAATATGTATGACTGTTTGCATTGAAACATATACATGTGATCTAAGACAACAAAAGGATCTTCTCCATCCCATCTTCTCAGTTTTTCCTCATCTTCCCATTGTATTTGCGACTGGACATGCAAGAACAACTTACACAGTCCCTTCATCTATAAAGGGTTGGTACAGATAAAATATAGTAATTACTAGCTACACACAATGAAACCTTATCCCCAGAGTCCTAAATTGGTGGGATTTTTCTCTACATCCTTCATACTTCAACAACTTGATCCTGTGGCCACTTTTGAAGGTGCTTGAGTTCAATTAAGCAACAGTAGGCCAAGAAAGCTCGTAAGGCACACACGAGCGATGGTAGCACCAGCGCAGCTGGCATGGCTAAAGGCTGGGTCTGGGATTAAACTATCAGGCTGCAGGTTGGAAAATCCAGATTCCTGGAAGAAGAAAGCAGAAGCCTGTGTAACCTCTGTGTATGTGTGCAGGAAGGTGTTTCTCTTCTAGTTTCCCACCCACCAGACATAATCCCTAACTGGGGACTGTGTTTGGTATGACAGTATAATTATATGACTGGGCTCTGTATACTTGTGTTTGGGGCTGTTGTTGTGCCTAGTAGTACTGTAGCAATAAAAATTGAGGCCTGCTGTTTTATCCAAGAAGTGGCTGTCTATGCCATCCTTGCTTTCAGAACGAGTGGGACTCAAGCACTTGAAGTGGTTAAAGGATCAAGAAGAATGCTTCTGTGTTAACCCTACCTGGGAAGACACAGAAAAATGCTGCAGTCAAGTACTGTCTCCTCTTTGGCCATTAAATAAATAGCAAAAAAAAGCATACAACAAAAGAAAAGACTCATACATGTTCATCATTATGAGCTGTGCATTGGATATCATTTGTTGAATAAGGTGGCTCTCAAAGCTTCACTCATCTACTAGAAAAGCTCACAGAGCAGTCTGTGCAAGAAAGACATTCACCATTGTATGTTAATGCTGGAATCTTCACGGCATCTAAACATACCACACGGTCTTATTTCCAAAACCAGATCAGCTTTACACATGGCTGAAATAAAGGGAACAGTCCCACTGATGTACATTTCCTCTATTTCAATCGATTAATTTCTCTATTCCCATAGCAGGAAGTAGTCAAGTGCTTAAGATAAAGTACTGCTGTATCCAACTCCATCAACATTCACTCCAGTAACATCAACAATAGAAATTCAACAAATTAAATTGCTATTGAAAAATTCAGAAACCATACTATAAACACTTGAACAAAAGAGGCAGAGAGAAAAAACAGAAGACAAAGATCTAAGTCTGTTCAAAAACTTTTGAGATAAACATGGCTTTAGTAAAGAATACTAAAATAAATCTACATGGAAGCTAGTTTTATTTTCTTGCCAGAGGGGAAATCCATGACAGATTAGCCCACATCAGAATCACCACTGAACACACTACAGAGGTTCCTAAATGGCCTAATGCCTTCTATCGCACTCGGAGTTTGGATTCACAACATTTGTTAAGAGGTGGAGGCAGCAGCTGAGAATCACTGACTTTGTCAGGACATGGGAGCACCTGCCCAGCACAGAGGCCACATGCTGCCAGTCAGCTGTGTGGAAGCACTGTGATTACTTGAGCAACATCTGCAGAATCGTAATGTGTATCTATCAGTGTTTAATCTCAAACGTGAAAAAAAGCACACTACTGTTATACCGTTAGAGAAAGGGGAAAAAAAACCCCACACCCAAAAAACCCCAACCCACCAAAATCAACCTGTCCTGAATAATACATCAGTTTGAAGGACAATTTTAAGAACTTAAAAAATCCCAGCAAAACTTTGAGGTACAATTAAACAACTGCTATTTACCAGATACTCTACACAATTACAGCTTTTTGAAAAACACGAAAAATTCTGAATGCGTGTCTAGACTCAGGTTGTTACAATATGAATATCTTTAAGATAATGTAATCTCTCTGCTGACTTGTAAATCCCACGATGAAATGTTTTTGGCAGACTATAAGCCTAGTGAAAAAAAACAGTAAGAGGAAGAAGTACAAGTTCAGAATTAAGGAAATCTCAGTATTCCTTTCGTATCCAGACGCACTATGTCACTTGTCACATCAGATCATGCACTGTAACTAGAGATTAAAGCTGCGGAGCCAATCTAACCTTTCCCAATGGTTAGAATAAGTTGTGTGGGAGCAGAGTTAGTCAATGCGGAGGTGTTCATTCCACTGAAAATGTTTTGCACTGTTTACCAATCAAGAGGAGCTTGTCTGGGCTTCAAGCCCAGCAAGTCGGCTTGCGTTGCGTAACAGAGAAATCAACTTTTTTGTTTGTTTTTGTTTCATACACCGCCAATAAATATTTTTGAGTTCAACTTCAAAGGCTACCTTACTGATGACACTTAAGGAGGAAAAGAAAAAAAAAAAGATCAGGTTACTTTTTGAATGCTTTGGAAGCCTGAACATGAGTCCTAAACCAGGAAGGTGTCTCAGATAAAGTCACTGTCCATACCTGTAGCTCCTTCTGAAATTGTGACGTTTTAGATGCCTGCGCTTCCCCCCTACTCCAGGAAAATAATGTAACTGGAGCAGAGACAAGGAGGTGGTTATTGAGATGGCAATATTTATTTCTAGGTGAAAAAATATTTTTCCCCCTCCTATAAAAAAAATGGGTGAAAAGACTAGGTGCACAGTAAACCACAAATAGAGATTTTCCTGTCAAGGAGCCAAAGTATCAGGAAAACCATGTTTATAGTAACAACGGGCCAACAGACACGCTTTGGCATATTTTGCTGTAAAAGTTGAAGACGACACTGCTTTCTCTACTGTTAAGTCTGTCCTCCTGCCAGAAACTGCACCTCATGAAGCTCAACTTGTGCTGGCTTGGGAACTGACACATGCTTTCTCCCACTTTTACAGCTGGAATATCAAAACCAGAAGCCATCACCGTAAACACAGAAAAGCCCACCTGCTGAGACAAAAATAACACTTTTATAAGGAAAGGTGTGGTATTGTGGCAATGCATCTTGGCAGTAATGGAAGAGAGCAAAAAAGTAGCCCACTGTCCTGGTTTCAGCTGGGATAGAGTTAATTTTCTTCCTAGTAGCTGGCATACTGCTGTGTTTTGGATTTAGCATGAGAATAATGCTGATACCACACTGATGTTTTAGTTGTTGCTAAGCAGTGTTTATAATAAGTCAAGGACTTTTCAGCTTCCCACGCTCTGCCAGCAAGGAGGTGCACAAGAGCTGGGAGGGGGCACAGCCAGGACAGCCGACCCAAACTGGCCAAAGGGCTATTCCATACCATGGGACGTCACGCTCGGTACATAAACTGGGGGGAGTGGCTGGGGGGGCAGCGATCACTGCTCAGGGACTGGCTGGGCATCAGTCAGTGAGTGGTGAGCAGCTGCATCACGTCTTGGTTTCCCCCCCTTCCTGGTTTTGTTCCCCTCTCCCTCTTGTTGTTTTAATTTCCATTACAATTTTTTATTATTATTACTACACTATTTCAAGTATTAAACTGTTCTTACTCTCAACCCACAAGTCTTCTTTCTTTTGCCCTTCTGATTCTCTCCCCCATCCCACTGGGGCGTGGAGGGAGGGTGAGTGAGCAGCTGTGTGGTGCTTGGTTGCTGACTGGGGTTAAACCACAACACCCACAAATACACAAATGCTTCAGCAGTTTTTATTTTTGTTTGGCAGTTCAGGTTTCTAAGGAAAGCATTGCGCTATTTACAACAACAAAATAAAGGTATGAAGTGTACAGCTATCAGTAGCTAAAGGAGAAAGAAGCGCTACGCTACAGAAAAAGGAATTACTATAAAAGCTTTCTTACCTTGGGTCAATTACTTCTGGATAGGCACAAACTCTCAAAGTTTTAGAGTTGGAGCCAACAGCATATAAACTCCCACTGGGATGAAAGGCTACAGCTCTGACAGCTTGTGTGTCTTCTAGAGTATTAATGCAAATGAACTGCTTTTTTGATTTGTCATCCTGTGTAGAAGGATAATGGTCAGATTAGGTTCTTCAGCATAAAACTGGACATTTAAAAGTGGATGTGACTGTTTTGTTGAATAACGTAAAACTGTTGTACCAAAGTATTAATAAGTAGCAGCACCAGGCTAAACTATTCAAATGACAGATTTGTAAAACGATGTCTACTCCAGGCCAAGGAGTGGCATACTTCAAAGAGTTCTTTTCTTCAACTCACTCTTACAGCTAACCCTAGATTTAACATTTCTCAATTCTCCCTCCAGGCTTCCAACAGCTTTTGTTCTTCTAAACAGCCCATCTCAAAAGCATGATGTTACAGTTTATTTCTGTGTAAACACATTTGATCTGTGTGAAACTTGCAAGGGGAACAAAGCTGCATTTTTCTGAAAACAGTCCAATTCATAAACACAGTTTATAAAACAAATATAATAAACATAAGAATCAGCTCTTCACCCTGTAGATAACACAAAGTTATCATTAAATTATGCTAAGCTTTATTACATCATCCTCCAGATGACTTCATCACCACCTTTCTAAAATTCTGATTTTTATTTATCTGATGCAGAAACTTTGGAATGTGCTTATTGCAAAGTTACTTCCCTAAAGTCAGACTATACTGACTGCAGTCCAACTATCAAAGTTTCAACCTGGAGAACACAAAACAATGGCTGTAAAAGACATCCCATTGGAACCTCTGTTGTACAAGGAGAAGCTGAGAGAGCTGGAACTGTTTGGCCTGGAGATCCGAAGGCCTTTCAAGAGTGTGAGTGTGTGTGTGTGTGTAAATCTCAGTGTATATAAATACCTGACAGGATGAGTAAAGAAGATTGAGTGAAACTCTTATCAGTGGTAGCCGTGAAAAGACGAGAGGCAACGGACACAAATTGAAATACAGGAAATTCCATTTAAACTTTTTTGTTGTTTTAAAAACACTATGAGGGTGGTCAGACATGGGAACAGGTTGTCCACAGAGGTTATGGAGTCTCCATCCTTGGAGATACTCAAAACCCAACTGGACCCAGCCCCAAGCAGCCTGTTCTTGTTGACCCTTCTTTGAGCAGTGGGTTTGGACTCAGTCTCCGGAGGTCCCTTCCAATCTCAATGGTTCTGTGATTCTGTATGTATGCATCAACCCAAATTCATTCTAAATATCTATTAACAATGAGAGGATGTCACATACTCAGGATTAAATATTGAATCTTGTGAAAACGCAGGTTGTAAAGGACAATAAGAAAACTTACCTCATCGGCTCTTGTCCTAGTTAAATTCCCTGAAGAGTCTTCCAACTGTGGCTGAGTGACAGCATGTTCTGACACACTGTTTTGATTTGGTGAAGAGTTTAAATTCACAACAAGACAGAAAAAACAAGAGCAGGGACAGATTTGTTTGTAAGTATTTTTTGGACTAAAGTTACAGTTGCAGTCATACTCAGAACTGACTAATTTATGTGGACAAGTGTTATGCATGTCTGATTCTTTATCATTGAACCGTAATCTTTACATGAGGTTGCCATTTTTGCAGCAACTCCAGGCATTGAAGAAGCGAATGCAAGTTAAAAATACTTGTTTTCATTCCATAACATACATACACATATATACACACATACGTGGAAAAGTGGTAGTTGCTTTCAGGTCAGCACTACCTTTAGTAGTAAACAGAAGAAATCCAATTCCTACTCTACCCTGCCTCTCTCTCCATCTAGTTTGTATTTAATAAAAAAAGCTTTCAGAAACTTAGAACACAAAATAAGCAAGAACTATATATATATAAGATGGGATAAAAAGTCCTAAATTAAAAATAAGCACAAAATGTAAAACATAACAAATAATGACTATTTTCTCATGTGTGCTGTCAAAAAAAAAAAAAAAAAGATTTTAGAACCCTACTAAAATATATAGAAAACACTAATCATGAGCTAAATACCCCTATTCAATGACAAATTCATTTGATAACCAAAAATAAATACGAACAGCTACTCCCACAGTGCTAACAGAAGGACATTTCTAGTCCTGAACAGTCTCACATAACTTACATTTGATTCCCGTGTACAGGTGACTCTTCAGGGAAGGGTATCTGATTAGCTGATCCACGCTTTCGAGGAGTGCTTGTATTAACGTTTTGGCTATCAGTTGTTACCCTCTGACTAGCGTCTGAAGGTGGTGATATAAAGTTACTTGCTGCATTGGTAGATGCATTCCCTTTGCTCCCATTACATTGCTGGCTAAGTGTTTGTACATCATTTCCAAGACTGTCCATACCTATATTTAATTCTCCTAGCTTCTGGATAGATCTAATAAAAAAATGACAAGAAAAAAAAGACGACCACCAAAACAGGTTATTATGAGAACTTGAGGAGGGATAGGAGTGGGTGCAGGGAGAAGTAACAAAATCCCCCAACCTGTTAAGAAACTGTTCAGTAAGATTCTGTTGCTGGTCAGCTCCATCTTCTTGATTCACACCTCCTTCCAACAACATTTGCTGGTACAACTGTCGTTGTTGCTCTTTCTGTTCTAAGTGTTGCTGGTAACGTAGTCTTTGTCTGTAATATTCCTGAAACTGCTCTGTTGAGTCGCGAAGCTTAAAAGAAATGAGAATTACTAATGAAAATTAAATAGTTAATTGCAGTATTTAACTTAAGTATTCACTCTCTGGTTCGTTATTTCAATACAAGCATCAAAAGGCCAGCAGATTCTTCTCTGAGGAACAATGCTTTCGTTCTTCCCTAAAACCAGATACAATTTACATATTAAAAAAGGAAATTGCTGCCAGCCTGTACTATTCACTGTTGAAGTAGTTCTGCCCTAATTCATAAGAAGGCTCCTCTTTCCTACAAAACTTCCAAAGCATTACTTAACATCAAAACAAATAGGTGACTGGAAACTGAAAATAAAAACCAGAAAACAATGTAAGCTACATTCCAAATTCCAAGTCATATTTGCACTACAAATTTAGTATTTTCTGCCACGTTGACACTTCTCTGCCATCAGTCTGCAGAGCAGATTTACCTCTCCCAGTAGCCAACCTTGAAGTGGTCTAGCCAAATGTTACATGTTACTTTTGAAATTGGTACCTTGTTCTAACTTTAAAATTCCTTACTTTCTGGACCAAGCACAAATACTTGAGCTTCCTTTCTCATAGTCTCTTCTCTTTTATGTACTATCTTTAGCTTCCCACACTGCCAGCTCCTCAGGGCTCTCTGCCTTCTGCACTCCCTGATCCTCACTTTCTCTCTGTGCCACTAGTTCCAAATGATACCATCGTGAAACAG